AGACAGATACTCTGTGAAACAATCAGGTTCCTCTGGCTCCTCCTAGTGCTCCTAATAGCATTTGTAAGCATGAGTAGAGGAAGGTTGTCAAATACTGACACTGGGAATGACACTCATCAATCAGCTATCTTTCTCAGCTCTGATTGGTTGCAAATGCCTTTAGGAACATTATGAGGAGCTAGAGGAAACTGATTTTTTCAAATGTCTTAAAGGGGTCTGGTCTGATCAGTCAAATCCAAGTCAGGTGTGTATTCAGAGAGTTCTTCCATGTTCTGCTACCTCATACTTTAACGACACTATATTTCATTATTATTAGTCTCCACATTTTTAAACATCTCTTTATTATGACTTTGTTGTTTATTCGGTTATTTTTGTCAACATTTTCTGCATATTGTCTTTGAACCTTTTCAAGTTTGACACTTCCTCCCCCGTACTGTCCTTCTTTTGCAAACTCAATATGACTAATTATTTTTTTTAGGTTAACACAGTATAAATCTGCCAGAAACCCTTAATACAATAACAATTACAATTATAAATCTTTACTGAACACCACTCAAAATACCATTAAAGAAAAATTAAAGGTTGGAGAAAAATTGTTTTCAAAAGTTTAAACATTTTGCTATCAAAGTGATATTTGATCGCTTGATGCATTTTTACAGATGTCCAACAGTACAAATGAGCTCCACCTCAACCTGTTACACACCCTTCTTACATGTTTGTGCATCAAAAATAATAATAATAATAATAATAATAATAATAATAATAATAATAATTATACTAATACAACTCTAATAGGACTAATCTTGCTGCATAATTAATACTTTTTGATACTTTAGTAAAAAATGTTGCTGATAATTATTACTGTATGTAGCCTACTTTTAATTAACAAGACTAATAGAGTTGTTTTTACAGTGTGAGAGTGCTACTTTTAGTAATCTGAATATTTCACAACAACTTAAGTCTGAGTCTCAAGTCTGTGGCCATTCTGTACAACCCTAATTGTGAAAATATGACCTGACATTGTCAATATATTATACACTTTTTATTTTTTGTTTTTTTACATTGAGCTCCTTTAAACAGGTACAAATCAGCCCGTCAATCACAATGTGATAGTATTTATTTATTTATTTATTTATTTTATTGTATCTAGCAGTGATTTCAGTGAGTGGATGCACTATATTCTTTTTGAAAAGGTCGATTTTGGGCGCGTCTCCAACAACTTCCACTAGAGTTTGCACAAGAGTCAGCTTTGCAGAGTGTTTCCGAGACTGTCTGAGATTAGTTATTTCTGCTGGAAGCCGAACCACTCTCCTGACATGGTGTTAATATTTAGCTGCTGGTTGATCCTGGGGAATCTGCTGTCGTCTTTAGGAGTTTGGAGAAAGCCAGAGAATCAGCTGTTTTCCTCCAGCTGGAGGGCAAAGGAGTGATTCGTTTGGAAGATAATGTGTGCAACTGATTGAAGAAATATTCAAGTTCTATATCTTCTCCTGCGATGGCCCCAGAGCTGCTGACTGTCATTGTGGCGTCAGGTGAGTTCAGCTCCTTTTATTTTTTGTTTACCTTCATGTTCCACTGGCTCAACAAGTGAGGAAAAGCATCATGTTTTTTGCTTATTTTTATACTAATATTTCCTTAGTGACTGATGACCACCATTAGGAGTTGATTTATTTACCATTACATCAGTAATAATACAGGGGAGATTGGGGGGGGGGGGCTAAAGAGATACAGCAGTTCTGGGGAATTTGAGTTCCCACTGTCAGAGTGATAAACTAATAAACGCATTATAGAACAGATGTTTCTTATGTATCTGGTGTAGTCTAAAGTTGTCAAACAGCAATATTTGGCTATGTTGCCTAAATTGTCTGTGGGATCACATAACATAATCATGATCCCACCAGCATCAAGGAATTGAGCAGAACTCAGTAAGTAAACTATGGTAGTAACATTTTCCATGTTTTGCTCTGCAATTATGCTATTCACAAATGCTTTGCAGGTTTTGCTGTAAGCAAGCTCTCTAGAAGCACTTGACTTGACATTTTTTATTTGCTTTCTCTAGTCAAACGTTTACTGGAAGCAGCTGATACACAACATAAAAGCAATAAAAACAGCATAAAAGTGTCACATGATTGGACATTTCTGTCAGCAGGGCTTGAATCATTTGTGCTTTTTGAACATTATAGAGGAATTATATCAACAAGGAATATACAGCCTATATGATTTAAAAGATATCTGAATGTTTATTTTTATGATTATTAATATGAGGTGTAACAACTTAGTGACTTTACAAATACTGTACTGTATGTGTTGACATTTTAAAGTTATTACATATAGAAGTTCAACATTTCCAGCTTCTAATTTGTCAATGCAGGGGGGATTTTGCTCCAAACCAATGAGGGGGATGTTTTTACATTTTTATTAACATTAAAGAAAACATTTTGTTTCATAATAATGAATTGTTCTCCACATAGACCAAAACACACAGATCCTTAAATACCCCCAAAATTGTTTTTGTGGAAAACAGAAGCTATAGAGGACAAATGGCAGCCACTGCACGTACATTGGCGTCACATAGACATGAACTTAACTGGTACTTGGTATCCAGAGTGAGATAAATGAATATTACCCATCTACCATTTCTGTCTCCACATGTAGCCTGCTGTGTAATCTATTCTGAAGCAGTAACAGTGTGTCTTTCTCCTCTACCTCAGTGTCCTGTGTAGCTTTTTGTGTAGTGATCTTGATGCTGGTGGTGGTCTTCTACAGAAAAGATCCTCTGTGCTGCAGATTCAGACCCCACAGGACAGATAACTATACAGTAAGAATCCACTACAGTAACCACAGAAAGACTTCAGACATCAACTATGAGCCCTTTATACTACTGTAGCTTCTATGGATGAGATTGTCTCTAGGTGCTCGAGTTCTATATATTTGTCTTTATTGTACCTATTTTATAAAATAACCTAATAAAGTTTATACTTTCTGAACAGTCCTCAGCCTTAGTATAATTCTATGTCCTCTTATTTCAATATTAACAGTGCTCAGTTTATTATGAATTGTTGAGCTGGTTTACAAAAATGATTACCTCCAAAAGTCCCATTTGTGTGAAATATAATGGCCATTGTTGCTGTAGACATTACTATAGACTATTACTATCAGAAATAATACAGTTCAGAGTAACTCAGCAGACATTATGAACTCTAAAATCAGAACTAATCCCTGATGATTTCTCTTCCCAGGATGATCCTCCCCATTACCACAGCCAGCACTCTTTGATTGGCATGGGCCTTAATGAGCACAGGGCGGCCATGAACCAGGGAGCTGTTGGACCACAGGTAAAAGACTTCACAGACTTTACAGAAAACTGATTGCTGCAAATATTTGAAATGGATTATTTGCAGCTGCCAGATGTTTCATATCACATATTTGTGTGTGTGTAATCTAGCATCCTGGAAGGCTGTTTATAATAGGGAAGCCGAATGACTACCACCTGAACGAGGCTCTGCCGAGGCTGCCTTCCTATGAGAGCGTCCGTAAGAAGGACCGGCAGAGACAGATCCACAGCATGATCTCACAGCGCTTCGGCCTTAGTGGCTGCCAGGAGGAGGTGAGCAGACAGAACGCTATATACTGTATGGTCATTCAGGAGGTTCCAGGTAGTTTCCCCAGACAAATGCCTTGAAAAAGACTTTCTAATTCACTTCACCTTGATGTGAAAAGGGTGGTTCATCATTTTTGAAAATACACTTATTTGCTTTCTTTTCAAGAGTGAGATGAAAAGATAGATACCACTCTTGTGTCTGTGGGCTATGGAGCTGGAGGCGATTAGCCTAGCTTAGCATAAAGGCTAGAAGCAGAGCGAAACAATAGCCCCCTTTAACGTTTAAGAACAGGCACTCTAAAACAAGCAATGATAATTTGTCCTTTTCCGGAACAGTACATGATGTAACTACTTTCTTGAAGAACAGTTTATATTTAAGAAAGATGGTACCAAACCTGACAACCTCACTGTGAAGACTTTGGGAAGAAGCTGCGCTTGGCTGGTTTATACCAATAAATAGTTCTAGTAAATATAGTTTGATCTAACTTCCCCAAAACCACAAATGTTCATTTTCACATACAGATTAAACAAACAACATTCAAAAGGTTAGTGAGTTTTAGAGGTGTTAGGCATAGTGTTTAACATTGCTATGAATTGCATTTTTTTTAGTTAGATCCTCCCTGACTGGGAAATGCTCATGTTCTTTGCCCCCAGTTTGTAACACAGCTTTTCTGTTGTAGTCTCCACAGCCACAATAGTTATAGAAGGCTGCAGGAATCCTTAAACCCAGAACTGAGTGAGCAATTTGGCACTTCCAATTCCCTCGCCTCAAAGTCAATGGGTTTTTGGAATGGGTTTTTGGTTAGAAGCCTGAAATAAGATCTGTGGTTAACACAGCCGTAAGGGATTTTCATGTTTTGTTCTACGCCATAAAATATGTCAGTATACACCCCATACTTGAATTTTGAAGCTATTACGTATCTTAAAAAAGGCAGTTGCTAAGAAGTGGCTCAATGAGGAGACATATCTACTTTTTAGTCTCCCTTTACAGCCCTGTTGTGTTTCTACTTGCACACTTGCTAACTATTGTAACTTGTAGATTTTAATTACAAGATTTAATTACGTTTGGAAGCAGTGGTGACGTTGAAGTCCTGCAACTGTGGTGCAGTTTGTTTATATCCTAACGTTATCTTTTTTCTTCGGGCAACACAATTATGCCTTAGGAACCAGGACAATGCTAACTTCCAGGTTGGCCTACAAAAATGCATCAACCCTGCAGCACTCTATTCATAACTGTTTGCACTGGCTGTATTAGTACATCAGTTAGAGTTCCCCTATAAAGTAATGATAATATTTCCTTTGTCACATTCCACTCTAGCCACCACCAACGTATGAAGAAACCCTTCGCCAGTCCTGTGAAGTTTCACCTGTACATCTGCACACTCTGGATGTTCACCTGTCAATCCACACCCAAGATGACTCTTCATACGTCAGTGAAGACACAACCAACCCCCATCAACCATCCATAGCACTCCAGGGACCGTCTTCCTCCTACTGCACAGCACAGAGCAATGTGTTTCTGTCTATCTGATGGTCCTAGATTTCGCTGCCAAGCCACAGCATGAGGAAGAGGACTGCTGTTGTTAGAGCCAAGAGACTGACGTCAACAGGGACAAGAAGAGAGTTTTTGGGAAGGGAGTGCTTGTGCTTTGAGGCAGAGCTGTTGATAGGCGATTCTGCTTGAAGGTATTGTGATAATGAGTGTAACTCAAGCTGAGAATGATATATCTCTGCATTGTCCATGCAATTACTGGAAGGTTTTAAATTGTGTTTTTTTTAAATGGTCAAATGGGAGGTTAGATTTATTTTGACAAATATGATTCCTTTGATACTGATCAAGATATTTTTGTACTGAAGTCTTTTTTTCAATGTCTGTGAATTTTACAGATTTTATACTGATTAAAACCTGAATGTTCACATTTCTATTGGACTGGAGTCTAGTTTGACCTGATGTTGGCGCTATAGATAAAGAGTCAGAGGATTACCAAATTTATTACAATTCATCCTGTGGGGGTCACAAATGTCTGAACCTAATTCCAAGCAAATCTAATCAAAAGTTGATGAGACATTTCACTCAAAGCATTAATGTCAACCTCATGGTGGAGCAAAATCATCATCATCTGAGAGCCACGAGTACCTGTACAAACGTTCGTACCAATCGATTGAGTACATGTCGAAATATTTCACAGATTAGGTGAAAACAAGGTCATTAGGATTTATCCTTTGGGCACTGTGGAAATCGGTACCAAATGACATCCATCCCACAGCTGTCAAGATATTTAACTAAAAACCACAAATCAACCTGCTGGTGGCTATAGAGGAAAAGTCAGGGGAACACTTGTCAGTAGGATTTATCCTCTGGGGAACATCAATATCCCTATAAACATTTGCGCCAATCTGTTAAGTAGATGTCAAGATATTTCAGTGGATATACAAAACCTTTGACCTGCCGATGGTGCTAGACAATAAGTTAGGGAATTGACAAAAAAATTAGGATTCATCTTCTGGGCACCATATGTGTACCAAATTTGGCAATCCATCCATTAGTTGTATTGAGTGGACAGAAAGGACCTGCATCCAGAAAGATTTAATGGTATGGAAATGTATCCAGATTTGTGTATCATATCATATCATATTAAAATAAAAATAAAAACTGAAATAATCTTCTGGATACGGACAGCATGTGTCCATATCCCCACCTTGGATAGTACCGTATTTCTTCTTCATTTATTCCATGACTCAGCCTCTGTGAACCATCAAAGTTTGAACAAACTTTCAATGCAAACTATCCAGTAGTAGTCTGGACCAAAGTGACTGACATTTTTATCAATAGAGACTAACTTACAGATTGCAACCAACTAAATACCACTCGATTTCCACGCGTGTAGGAGAAACTACGGTGGCAGTGAAACTCACAAAAAACACAAAAAGCCTCAACCAGAGTCAGTGCTTGGTTTATTGTAGAAACACGGGGCACCCCGTAGGAGACCCGCTCCCTCATAACAACAGCTCATTCTATGGTAACAAAAATTCTTATATAAAGGTGATTATACACTAATGAAAACATACCTATGAATATTATATTCCATTTCTTCCTTTAAGGTCAGTGTTGTCTTTTGCACTGACTTTTTACACAAATTTCCAGACAGCAAATGTAAAATTGTTATCTTTATTGGTTAACTAAAAAAAAACTAAGTACTAAGTTTCACTCTCAAAGAGGTCTTAGGTAAGACCAGGCATTGCTTAAACAGTAACTCTGTTTGGCCTGTACTCATCACTAATGACTGTTAGTTTGAGTTTGAGAGGTAAAGTACGACCGTGCAAGGTTACTCTTTAACCCAGATCAAACAATAACCACAGAAAACACAAACCCACCTCAACCAGGAAGTATCTGGGAGGACTAGATTGCACGTACTTTCTGTTGTGCATCCACTGAGGATGACCTGCGCTGATAGTGGCCTGAACCAAGAATGCAGCTCTCCAACAATGGCCATTGGCTATTCAGTAACTTCACGACTCATTTGTTCTTTGGGAAAACACGCACAAAGTAGCAGATATCAAAGAATCTATATGCTTACACTTATTTATAGAAATATTCTTCAGTAGTTTCTCCCTGTTACATTATCCAATCAGCCAGCGGAATGCACATTGACCCATAAACAGCGATTTACCCTCCGCCATCTAGGAGTTATAGCGCCATGTCTGCAAACTCCTCACATTCATCATTGGTTCTGCTTCATGACAGTGTTCCCACTCCCATGCAGTGTACCAGGCGTTACCCACACTCCCCCAGCATACCACAAGCCTCTGAAATACAACTGTTTCTGCTGAAAGCTCTGTCAAAGAAATGCTGACAAAATATCTGGCTGATAAGCTCGTACCATTCACAACACATTTTATAGAGGGATAGTTCATTAGAAGAACATAGCCTGATAAAGGGAGACTGATAATCACCCCAGTTACTGAGTAATCATAAACCTTATTTTTCTTATTATTACTTTGTAACTTCAATCATTATAAATGTGCATTATGGACAATAATACTGCACACTGAGATAAAATCAAGCCGTGCATGAGCATTACTCCAGCAGTGACTGTTCAACATCTTGTGGTAAGTATTGGTATTGCATCTTTCCAACAATATGAAGCACTTGCTGTCAAATCTTAATTAGCCAAGTTAAGGTTAATTATAAAGTACATTTAAACACAGCTTAAACTGACCAAAGTGCTGTACAAAAGACTATTAACATACAGTGAAAAGGTAACAAACATACCAACGACAACAATAAACGACAAGGTGATAGAAATGACAACCGACTGATTAAAAGATTAGTAGGCCAAAAAGTCTAAAGAATCGAATATGTGTGTAACAGAGAGAGAACGTTTAATATCTAACAGCAGCTGGTTCCACAGTTGTAGAGCAGCAACTGCAAAGACTCACCTTTTAGTTTAGTTAGAGCTAAAAAGCCGATCTAACTAGGAAAAGAGATCACATCTCTCCTGTAGCTTCTCTGCATTGGCTCCCTGTTAAATTTAGAATAGAATTTAAAATCCTCCTCCTCACCTATAAAGCTCTTCATGGTCAGGCCCCTTCATATCTTGAAGAGCTCATAGACCTTTTCATATGTTTCATCTGCTTAATATCGATATAATGACCTCGATGGTACCATATCACAGCTCTCTTCATATGGGTCAGAATTCCCATCCTGTTAGCGAACAGCCCTTTTAAACGAATCATACATAAGGCACTGTTTTAATAAGCTATTACTGTCAGTGCAGCTCTCTATGCGTCAGAGTATATCTTAAGAGATCTGACAGTAATTCTCTTCACTAGAACATGTTCTCACACAATTGTTAAAGCTGATTCATCAAAAAAAAAGAGGGTACGGATATATGAGGAAGTGAGCGTGTTAATTTAGTTGGTTTATTAAATAAGTGGATTTTATAATATAGGAGGAGAAGTGAACAGATTCAGTACATTACAGTACTCAAGATATATGATTTTTCTATAAATAGGTAGGAGAGATGATGACGACAGATGACGGAGAGGAGGGACCAGACACCAGGACATTACAGTTTCAGCACACTACATTGATATAGTAGTTTATTTCTGAGAGATAGAGCATTTTATTTAATACTTACTGTATAATAGATTATGAATATATATTAATCACTAATATCTAGTGATATTAATCAATGGCAGTCAAGCAAGGACCATGGCAGGGAGGCCCACACAGGATCCATGAATCTAGCTACGGACGATACAAGCACAAGAACCCCGGGATGAAGTGAGAGGTAGTAATCATCAGCATTTTATGGACATGAATTGAGGATGTTGCACGATAATGCAGAGATCAGAGAGCAGAGGAGTTTCATGTGCACCATGGGAAATTTCCCCGATACGTTTAGGTCTTATATGCAGCATGTTATATTAAGGGATGGTTCGGACATTCACTGAATCTCTATGCTAATCTTTATTATTAGACGTTATCATATTTAGAGGAACAGTCTTAAGCCTACTCTTAAATGTGGAGAGGGTGATCTCCTCCCCGAACCCGACTGAAGCTGGTTCCACAGGAGAAGGAGCCTTGTAACTGAAGCTCTGGTCCGTGTTCTGCTTTAGAGACTATAGGAACGCACGAAGGGGAGCCCAGCATGTCAGAAGAACGTAGTGGTTTTTCTAAGAGGGGTATAGGGTACTA